AAAAATTGAATTACATACCCCGTTCTTAGCCTCCACCGGATGTTCCTCATCGATGTGGCAACAAAGCCCAACAACATCAAAATCCTCGGCGCAAAAAGGGCACAAAAACTCGGCCTTTAACTCATCGTCTCCATCAGTTTCGTCGTGCGGAAAGAGATCTGCAACAACCACAACCATCAGCACCAAACAAATTCACAAAACACCGAAAACAAGAAAAATGACGCAAACCTGGGGTAGTTTGGGAAAAGTGACCGGATCGAGATTGGTACCGCCTCGACGAAGAGCTCGAGAAGAGACTGCTCCACGAATTATCAGACTCCATCTTGATACACATACACAATTCAATCAAGGCGATGGCGAATTGGGAGCTCAAATCGAATTTGGTACAAATTTATAAAACCCTAGGAAGATTGAAGACGACGAGAGATAAAGCGAGTGTGTGTGTGGGTGTGGTGCGAGTGTGAGGAAGCGACCAAGAAATAGCTTGAGAGAGAACACAGAAAACACACTAGCTTTGATTTTCTAATTTCCTTCTAGTGTCGTTGTTAAGATTTGAAATAATTTATTATATTAAAAAAAACACATAAGTAAAAATTTGATAGTGCATGAATTAAGTTGCATGCCATGTGCGAAGTTAAGTTGTGTCTCACCATTTGTTCCAAGACGCATAAGATGACTTAGAAAAGTTAGCTCACCCCTCAGTTCATGATAAAAAAGGAAGTTATCAACGACGTGGTGTTGTCCCATTGGTTGAGGGCATTCCTTTCTTGAAAAATTGGTGTATATAAATTCGAATAGAAAGGCATTGCATGAGAGCCCAACCATAAGACAGAAATCACAATCACACGCATATAAGACAAGGATCCGAGTGGTTCACCCTTGAAATTGGGGTGCGTCCACTGTTTGCATTTGTATTGTATTTATGAGAGGGTTTTGTGGTGTGGTAATTGGTTTGTGAAAAGTTGTGGTGTGGGGCTAATTGGATTTTTTTGTTTTTCCCTTTGGAAATTTGGAAAGAAAGACAGACAGAGAGAGAGGAAGGAGATGGGAAAGAAAGGTAGAGGAAGGAAGAGGAAAGAATGAGAGAACGGAAATTTTTTTATTTTTTTATTTTATAATTTTTATATTATTATTTTTTCACACATCAGCCCCAATTAAATATAAATATTTTTTAAGTCAAAATCCTCAATTAAATTTAAATATTACAAGAATTATTTTTTAGTCCGACACAACACCAAACATATAGGTCTTCACTATTTTTACAATCCAGCCACTTAGTCCGACATAACACTAAACGTAGGTCAGTACTTAATCCAGCTTAGGCCACTCCGATCTAATCCAAGATAGTCCCAAGACTTAGTCCAATTCATAACAGTCCGTTGTACCAAACGACCCCTTAAAGGCTAAAGCAGTGTTAATACAAGACCTCCCATCTGTATATTCAATTTTTTACTTATATTCATTTTCTTCACTGTAGCTTAATTATTACCTATGGATGGAGGAGGGGGTAGATTTGGTGCATCAGGTAAGAAATCAAGTTTTGCCATAAGGTATATGCACTAGTTGAAAGCTTTTGATGATTTTATATTCAAATAACCATGGCTGTATAAATTTAGAATTAATAATTGTAGAAATGTGATATTTATTGATTGCAGTAATTACTACAATTTTGGGAATTGACCATGAGTAGGTATTACAATGGCAATATGTGTAATTTTTTGAAAAACAGTGGCAAAGGTTTTGCATACTTGGCTTGGCTTGACTCAAAATTCGACCTGTATCTAAAGAACACTTGAGATTGTTTTGTCATCTTCTTGACCAAGAAAATGTTTAGAGAGCTTAGCTGTCATGTAATCTACTTTTTTACTGTACCAAAGAACAACAAATAATCCTCTCTCTCTCTCTCTCTCTCTCCGCCATCCCAAGTTCCCAACCCTCCGTCTGATTAAAAAAAAAAAGGTCACCAACCCTC